ACTGTAAGTATGAATACAGGTGAGAGTCATTAGGTTTTCCACCTTCATAGATTCACTTCATATCTTAATCCGTTAATCGCTATAAATTTAATTACCGAAATACTTTTGAAATACTATAAACTGATGTGCAACACGTTGTTCCCCAAACTTGACCACCTATTTTCCATTTAACCGAAATTCTATACACTTTTGCAGTCACTTGATATGTGTATGTTTCTATTGTATAAACATGGTATTATTCAGGCCAGATTTGATGAGACAATGATGAAAACGCGTATTTGCCCATATTTTATTTATTCTAAATGATACTATAAGTATATTCTGTTTTTCTGATGATCTGTTTGAAAAAAGTTCAGGAAACATTTTATCATCTTCCTAGGCCTTCTTGAATATAACTGAAGTACACCCATTCATCTTGAATATCCTGATCGAAAATAGTCAGTTACTATTTTTCTAGTCATAATCTACCCACTTTTAGTCTATTTATTAAGTATGTCACGCCTCGCCTGGTTAACTAATTCACTAGTTACTAGCCGGTCCTAAGCCCGGGTAAAGAGTGAAGATTGGGCATAGGGCTAGCAACCCTACCCCACAAAACCAATCCAACCGCTACCGAAAGTTCAAAGCACAAACAAAGTATAAAAAATGAAGACAAACTTATTCCTTGCTGGAATGGAGGAGACGAAATGACGCCGGTTGGTGAAAGCCTTCGGGAAGCCAATTGGCCGATGTGTCTTCTCTCTCTCGATGAGAGTGAAAGTAAACGTGGTGACATGGAATGTCCGCACAATGTTTGAAGCTACCAAGGATGTGTCATGCAGTGAAACATTATTATCCACTGGATCACGTTTCAAACACAATTTAGTGTCTATAGTCATTATCAAGATAACTGCACAACTTTAAGACATGGTTTGTGCAGTTCGAATTCCCTCTCCTCCTCTGCGACGATTAGAATAGTAGAATTTTTCAACATATCTAGAACAGGTACCTAGCTATTCCTATTGTATGTATTTGGTGTTGATTCGATCAGCAAACACTTGGTTATCAATCTTTCCTTCCATTCAACTAAGTTTTAAGAATTGTCACTCTATCCAACCCTATTGAGTGGTTGTGGGCAATCACATGCATACATTGGAATTCGCTATTCTTGATCTAGCTAAGTTTTGTGTTGCTATTTTAATTGACATTGGTCGATTACTTTGACCTATACAGCTGACGCTGTATGGGGTTTGGTAAAATAAACTTTTTTGTCTTATTGGATTTATAGAATCTTTCAACCTACAAAGCTTGTTTCTGAGCGATTTTCTTGTTGGCTGTTCCTCTGCTTGACCTCTGACCTTTCTGTCGTATATCGTTTTTCTCATTGTTTGATAGATTGGGCCTATGTGTTTCCTCTGTCCAAGATTTTGTACCGAGGAAACACAAAGAATATCAGAGAATTCCTAGAAGCTTGGCATTCAGGTCAGTCAGCCAGCAATCAACAGATGTATAGACATGGGCCCAACCTATCAACCAATAAGAAAAATAATAAACGACAGAAAGGTCAGGGGTGAAGCAGAGGAACAGACAACAGGAAAATCTATACACTCAATGACACAACAATCAAAGGGATCAACCAATCACAAACCAGTTGGTCAGAGCAAGCTACTGAATCACTCACGGAGAGATATTGACGGCTCACTACTTCATACTGAAGTTAGTGCTGATGATGTCGTCTAGAAAGACGATGAAAGCTTCAAGACTAAACTATCCAGCTCAGAGAACACAACACAACCAAGGAATTACATTCTGCCACAGTGTCCAATATTAAAGAAGAGAGAAAATTTGTGTACTTCTATACAAGTCGCTACTTTTACATCTGATGTGAATGGTAACTCCGTTGGCTGAGATAAGACAAATCGACTACTAGACATACCATCAACTGATTGAATTCAATGTTCACATCACATTTGAAAGTCACACAGTCATTTGCGCTACCCGATTTCTATCAAATCTTGCTACATTTGCTTAGTAGCACGATGAGATTATTGAAAATGCAAGTTCATTACCTTCCACGTCCAAAGAGTACCAGAGGCTTAAACAATATGCATCCAACTTTTTCAGCCAGATAATAGTTAACCAGAAGTGCACGTTATGTAATATTGATTGACATGATTAATTGAAAACCAGTTTCAGTAATCAACAGTGCCGATCTTTAGTTGAATCAATCTGTTATTATCGATGGATGGTGGCTAGCAGTGGAGTTCAGAATCGCGTTCCGTCCTATTTGGGACTCATCAGATAAACGCACCCGCCTCCTAGTGAGTGGTGTTCTTCCCAATAAGACCTCGCCAAAGATCGAATCTAGGACCTACAGGTCTCATGGTAAGCACGTTGCCACTGAGCCACCGGATCAACATATAGTGGTCTATAGTTTTCCTGCTTCCGTCGCTCAGTGGTATAACGCGATCTTCACCTAATTCTGTCTTTGAATACCTGTCCTCACGTACGACCTGGTTTGACTCACTGGTTACGACTTCTTATTACAACTTCCTGGGATTCACAAACTTCTGTCACCAGATTTTAAGTCAACCAAAGTTTTAGATAGTGTATTGTTTCAAACTCTTCCAACTTGTGATGATGAACCACAAACAGTTACATTTTATTCACTCACTTGACAGTTAGGCAAAAGCCATTGGTGATTTAAGGTAAGACCTGACCAGTGGCTGGGTCTTATAATTCAGTTGATATAACCAGCAAGCCGGTAACCTAGAAGCCGATGGTTCTATTCCTACCATAACTCAGGCTTTCATTTCACCTTCAATCATCATCTAAAGGAAACGATAACTTCTCAAAGCTTCTCATACCTTGACAATCATTCAAACTAGATTTCGGATTCTAACAATGAAACGTTTTCTTTCCTTATTGTTGAAATCAATCAGTCTCAACAATTAATATTTACTAACTACATTTTTTGTTGTCAACCGTATGCTATGACTCAATACAACTTCAGTTGTTTAGTTGCTATAGACAACTGACAATTTTGTTAACCACTGTTCTCTTCGCCTCCATTTAGTGACTTTTAATCAAATTATTTTTTAAGAGAGGGAAAGGTAAATTCAATAATTGTGTTAAACTGCCCTTCCTCTCCACACTTCCTAAAATGAGTCTCTGTTCCTTTCTTGAATTGATTAATTAACCAACCATACCTATAGGATTACTTTTAATTGGATTTAATTATTCTGAATAGAAATTTAATTATTTCTTCAAAAAATATTCAAGGTTTAATGTTAAAGCTTGTTTTCATTAAGGATTAAAATTGGTTGAAAAGTCACTGAAAAATCTGGCAGTACTTGACAGGCGTTTTAGCTTACTTTGGGACTCTTCAGTAGTTTAGATCCACTAACTCATAAGGCATCGGGTTCATTACTGTCAGATCTCAAGGCCTACGTATTGATTTCTATTCATCCACCCATCCTACATCTCTCATTTCAGAATGTAGCGAAACAATCATCTAGTTTTATCATGACTTCTCGTTACAACTTTGGGAAACACGTCTCGAAACTGGACACTAGTGAGCACCAGAAATGTAATTCAAATGGAAATTCTATGGTATTCACCTTGGTGACTAGTAGAAGAATCCAGGACAAGCGTTTCATCTTATTTGGGAGTCGTCTACTGGATTTACCCGTACCCCAGTGAGTGATGTTGTTCCCACTGAGGCTCGAACCGAACACCTACCACTTCAAATGTCAAAGTGTTAGCAACTAAGCCCCTGGGCAGAAGAGTCCCCTTTTGTTCAGCGGATATTAGTTTCTGTTCAATACTTGCAATCTCAAATTGCTCGACTTCTGTTGGTGGATGGGCTCTAACATTTACCTGACGACTCCCAGACAGGACGAAACGTGCATTCCGGACTCCACTGCCAGCCATCAACATAATCAGCAATCAGACGGTATCAAGACATCCTCCTTGGAGTCCATCTACCAACAGAGGTCGAGCAATTCAACCCACTATTAGCAACGGGAGATTGCAAGTATCAAACAACAACTGATATCCGTTGCACATGAGGTGCCTTCTGTGGCCTAATGGATAGCACTTTCCCATCTGAAGCGATGAGTACTGGGTTCGTATGTCGGTGGAAATATCACTCACTCGGGTGCAGGTACATGCAGCTGACGAGTCCTAAATGGGGCGAAACTCGCCTCCTGGATTCCACTGCTGACATAAACGAAGTGAAGATTTACTGAACTGCTTACTTACAGCTAAATTTTGATATCAGAATCTCAAAATGAGAATGTGAATATTTAGTCTTCTCAATCATCGTGTATTCCGACTATTTCTAACACGTAGCTACGAAGTAATAAGTTTTCTCAGCGATATGTTAGGTCCAAATCCTGATGTTACGTCTTTTGCTCTGATGCTTGTATAACGCCTTTAATTCCTGAACATCTCAAAAGGCAATAACATTTAGAGTGTTCCAGTTGAAGAATCTTGGCTAATAGGTTTGCAAACTAAGTTGATGCTTCATATCACTGTTGCGTTCTGAAGAACTGATTGCTTGTCTGTTTAATTGTAACACTTATATACGGTACTTAGCAACAATGCTGTCGACGTTGATATTTCTTATAGGTGAGTAGTTTTTCAACTGCTTAACTATTTTATCAACTCACTTTCCATTAAGAACCATCCAGCCCAGATCATAAGGTGTGATCTCCGATAAAAAGGTATCATGAACTAGTGAAATATACTACCACAATTTTTTTAGTAATTAGAAGCCACTCAGACTAATGAGCTCGGTCCCAAACGAGTGAAATAGCCATCCGGTGTTTAGATCACTCTGACTTGACTGGTTAATTTGTTAGATCAACCTGAATGATTTCCAACTACCCAAGTTGTTCAGCAGTATATAGTACTTAGACATCAGTAGGTTGCCGAATAAACCTTCGAAATGAATATTCTTAATCTTGTTGGTGTAATCTTTAAATATCCGCTCTATTATATTCTTTCTTCATCTTCAGTGCATAAAATATGAAACAATCCTTTCAAATATGCAAACTCAATTAAACTGTGTTATACAAGAACGAGATATGTTAGCCAGTCAGTTGAATACTATCATGGATACAACTACTTCAAGTATAAACACAACAACAGCTACACCAGCGATAACAACAACGACAACAATATTGACTGAAGACTCTTCATTGGTATCAACACCGAAATCTAATTCCATATTACATCCTGTCATGGGTGTGAATCGATCTGCACAAATGAAATCCACTACTTACAATAATAATAATAATAATAATAGCTTACATCCTAATTCTTCGATTAACGGGATTCCTACCACATCTATTCAACAATTACAGTATAATCAACAGAATTTAAACTTATCAAACCTGATAACATACAATACTACTAACTCATCAAATACTGTAAGTAGTATATTTGTGTATGTTCCATATATAATAGGATATTCATTGTTTTTCAGAATTTTTTTGTATATAGGCAAGTTTTACAACTGAGATACACGGAGATACCAAACAGTAGGCAATAGATTTGTTCAATGAGGTTTAAAAAATGTCATCTATATGCGCCTATTTCATTAACACAATATAGCGTAAACATTACAACTGTTCTGTGACAATTGACGACAGTATACTCGTTTGGTCATTCAATAATGTAGGATTCGGATACACACTAGCTCTTTTGATTAGTAATTTATGTATCCCCTCAACTATTCATCCATAGCTCCAAATGTAATTGTATCTGATATTGTATTGAGAAGCCGTTTATTCTTACTGAGAATATACTCCAACCAAGACCATTATTATTATTATTACTCAGAGTACTGAAATGTACAGTCTGTTTCCTCGTGCTTCACAAGTGATTTTTAAAAGTCTCGCACCATCCAATTCAATGATCCAAAACAGGTTCACGCTCTACTCTTTGAATCACATTTAAATAATAAGGTTCTACGATAGATACTACCAATTTATGCAAACTGAAGTAGGTGCTCAAAATACTGATTTTTTACGTTGCTGCTCGTATTATTCCTTCGTTGATTTGACCTAATTGGTCAGTCTTTTTTAAGATATAAGCTCCAGCTCGGACGCCTCGATATTGCCTATCGTATAAATTTTTGTAGTGATGATGCATGATGGCTAGCGGTGGAATTGAGAACGTGCGTTTCGCCTTAATTGGGATTCATCGGCGGGATGCATATGCACTCCAGTAAGTGGTGTTGTTCTCATGTTGGACTGGATCGCTTCCAACACCCGAATGTTATCCACTAGGTCATTGAGTCACGATAAACACTTTTTGTACGATAAGTATAGCTTTCATGTTGTGACGAGTCCCAATTAGGATGAAACGCGTCCTGGATCCCGTTGTTCGCCACTACCCATCATTATGACAAAAATTGAAACGACAAACAATATAAAGGCATCCGAGTAAGAGCTTATATATCAATAGAAACCAATCAATTCGGTCGAATCAACGACGGGATAACACAAGGAATAGCATAAAAACTATAATCGTCGCACGAAAAGTGGCTATCGTGACTCGTTAGCCTAGTGGACATCGCTCTGACGTCTGAAGTGATCAGCCCTGGGTTCGATGCCTGGTGGAAACGATATCACTCAGTGAGAGGCGGTTAAATCCAGCTGACGGTTCCCAAAACAGGACGAAACGCTCGTGGGTTCGACTGCTAGCTACTATCAGTCATCATTACTCCTCTTTCAGTTTATCAAACATTGACTTGTTTTTTTTCTCGTTTATTTATTTATTTATATATGACAAACCTGATATAGCATAGTCACTAAGAAATGAGTCACACGAAATAGAAATGTCAACATTGGGAGGTAAAAATGACTCTGAGGGAAGGAGAGAAAAAGAGAAGCATAAAAGTGAGTGGATTACCTAAAAAACGATCTAAAGGGTGGATTCAAAGAAGTATTCAACACTTTTATTTTACCTTCCAATAATAGAAGAGATAATAAGGTCGTTACATGATCACCATTGGCTTCGATTCTGAAATATATGCTGTAACTTCTCAAGCTAAGGCATCGCGAAATCGCTCATAATCCATCCACTGTGTTATGATGCACAAACAGATTCTTACGTGCTTATCTTCCAAACGATATAGCCACATCATAAGTTGACCATTTATTGTCTTCTCTTGTCTAGTTCCAAGGCTATCAAAACAGTGAACCCCATAAGCGCCGCTGGAATAACATTCATAATGCATTTCCAAGCCACAAATAGTCGTACTTCAACCTCATAATCTTACGTTTCGTTCCAATTTCCGCTTAGCTTTAAGTTTCATACCGGTTTTTGAGATCTATGAGCTTTCCAACATAGATGTAGTTTATTTGTCTCCTCATGCAGAAAGTCATAGTTACTTCCGTAGATAAACTCGTATTTCAGCATGACAATCTGTATCATGCCAATACACATGCTCTCAGACCTAGGAACTACTTAAGTAGTGCTTCTACTGGATGCTAACAGTTATACAAAGACAATGGTGATCAAACTCTTTAAGTCGTCCAACATCCTTAACTCAGAGCAGCTAAGTGTGACAGGAGTAAAGCAGAAATCTTTTCAGTCAAGCACTGGTACTTGTAATTTCCCATTGTGATACAAAGCCCACTTGCTTGATCTCTGTTGGCAGATGACCTCCTGTGCATTCTGGATCCCACTGCTAGTCACCTAGATGAATATAACATCATGAATATCTGGTAGTATTGTGGCATCTGAATAGAATCCCATCTCCCGACAGAGGTTGAGCAATTTCATTCTTTATAGCAACGAGATATTACAAGATTCATAACAACAATGAATACTTACAGTCAGTGGTTCATTTAATAAAAAGCAGAAAGGTTCAAATATTAGAAAGCGAGAAAAAAGGGAGTGAAACTTTATCTACCTGTATATGATACTTATAAAAAGTATTTTCAGAAAGGAATTCGGATATCCAAAGGGATACAGTTGAGTAGAGTTACATTTATCGACTGTTTAGAATGTTTTACAAGAAACTTTACATTCATGAGAGAATCGTCAACAGTGTTGTTTTCATATTGAACTTTGAGTTGTAGTGATGGAAATAAAAGAAATTAATTAATCGATATAATTCGCCTACTCGATCACTACTTGACTTCTACGTCCGATATTTAGATAAAGAGATGAGTTCAGCTGATAAATCGAATTTACACTATCAACATGGAAATTCACTGGCTTCATAGTGTAGTCATTATTAATAACTAACGTCAACTAGAGAGGAAATTCGAGCTGAAGAACAATGGACACCTGTTTAAGCTTACTTTCGAACCTTTTGGGATCCATTGTTTGTATTAGACATTTATACTGTTGATTAGATGAAAAAAATAGAATTATTACCGGAAAGTCTCTGAATTGTATAAAGCAATGTAGGTCCGCTGGATTAGGTCCTCTTGACAAGCACAAACAAAACTCATGATTGGCTCGAAATCGATCACATCTACGCCTCATCTACATGGTTGCTTTAACCCTATTTATTCCATCTTATAGCTTCTTATAACTTTTAATGTCAATCTATCTATTTCTTTGTTGTTCATATTGTTGCCTTATATCTGGATGTGTTAATGTGTGAACCATCGCTAGTGGAATCATTTCTCAACTATTCCCAGGTCCCCTACTGATATTATCTGACTGTTTATCAGTTTTATTACATTTGATTTTTGTTCTTTCCTCTTCTTGGAAATAGCTATTTCTTTAGGTACGATAACAGATCTGATCCCGTTGTCACTGATCTGATGAGCTCAGGCCGTAAAAGGGTGAAATGGTCATTCAATGTTTAGATCACTCTTATCTGCCTGGTAAAATACTATAGGTCAGCCTAACTGGTTTCTAACTGTTCAAATCGTTCAGTAGTAGTATTTGTCGCTAATCCAGAGATCTGGCCTTGTAATCTCGGCTGAGTGATTTCTAGCGTAAGTGAGCTTTAGTTTCAGTTGTATATGCATAATTAGGCCTGAACTATTGAATAGTTTCCTAGGCAGTCGTACACAAACTGTCATACTCGATTGAGTTACATCCTTTCTAATTTTTTACACGGTTATGTTAAAGTACAGTAACTCATACTGAACAAGTTTACATGACGTTTAACCCTCTGCTACCCTTCTGTCTTTCATTGATCATGTATGAAGTTTATCTACTTGAGTTTCCTAGAAGAAATCGATTTTTGTCGATTCAAGTTTAAGACTAATACGATTACAGTAGGTCAATCACTAGATTTTATTCTGTTGAAAATCTTCATCAAGGGATAAAATTTGAGAATTGTAATACCACTTTCTACTGTCTAAGCATAACCGCGGTATTAAGGATGAACAGCGACTAGCATAGGGGGGGGGAGGATCCAGGATATATCCAAGTCCCTCTTGTTTTGGGACTCAATAAACACAGTAGCAACAAAAACAACTGGAAATAACAAGTCATGACATTAACCCCAGCATGTTTTGTTAGACTTTATTTTTTAAAATATTCATTTAGTCCGCCCTCTTATAATATCTGTTTATTAATGTATCTGTAAACATGACTTTATCTCCATCTCCATTCATTCTTTCATCTATTCACATTATACACTGGCTACAAAAAGGGGGTTGAATTTTCTCTAAACAAATTATATTATAAAAAGACGGGACGATTGGAAAGCGTTTACTTTATTTACAGTACTAAACTAAATTATATTGTCTAAATTGTTAAAACGCAAAACGAATAAGGGGCGGGACCGATGAAAGCCTAAGAACAGACACGCAGAGCTTCTCCAAACCTCTTGCTCCGTGCATTGTTATCTCCACCCCCCTAACACCGCAAACGTAGATAACATGTGATTTATTTATTTATTTATTTATAGTTATTGCGGTAAAAATAAAACAACATTGCATATTTAACCATTTTTTGCAATCTTATCTGTAAAACAGAATTTAATTGCTTCTTTTATATACTACAATTACATATCGTGCCGACCGTCCATCCCATGCCAGTACCTGAATTTGACCTGCTTGCTCTATGTACTTGTATGTGTATATGCACGCCGTGTGTCTATCCCATACCGATCGATGAACACACACATTAATACAAGGTCGTAGTAGATGGATAGGTAGACAGGCATACCTGCTATTTTAATACTGTGTGCCTCAATCCTTTTAAATAGTAAGTAGTAAGCTAAACAGGATATTTCGTTTATATTTATCCGATTACTTCACGTCTTCAAGTTATTTATTTATTTATTTTTATTCCCCTTGGTCATAAAATGTATATTATGTGTGTATGTATGGTAAGAAGTGGAAATGGTGGTGTTTATCTTATTCTCTGTAGTGATGATGAGTAAATTGCACTTTCTATACCAACTGTAGATTTCCACGCCGTTATCAAATCACTATCTCAATCACTGCGT